TAAAATTTTAAAAAAAATTAAAATCATCATAAATTAGTAAATATATCTTTTAAATAAAAAATTGTAATTAAAGTTTGATTAGTTAGTTGGGGGGAAAAAAATAAAAACGAAAAAGAAGAGTGCATGTTAGGTTGAAATTAAATTTGATGAAGATTGGTAAAAAATGTTAAGTTGAAATTAATTAATAAGGGGAGAAAAAAACTAAAGTAAAATGGTAAATTTACCAAATAAGGAATGTATTGACATGTGACAATAAAAGAGTACATTAAGGGAGACGTGTAAAAGTAACACATTACATACTTTGAATGGTTCATATAAACCTTGGGTGTTGAGATGGGTGTTGATTGTTTGGGTGTATGTATAATTATCCTATAGATTATTGTCTGTTGTTTAACATTTCTTTACAAACCAAAGCTTGTCTATAATGTTGTTTAAGGAGAGTTGGGGGTTTACTTTATGAGGGCCTTTTAGGAATGAAACTTTAAGACCTTTAGAGTTAGAGTAGACGTTATTTCATTGTGGGATGCAAGGCAAACTTTAGTGTCAATTAATACAATAGTGCCTCAATTTCATCCTTTCAAAATATTTTTTTTTAGTAAATTACTTTTTCGCCCAAAATATTAAAATTTTGTTATAAGACTACTTAATTCCATAAACAACTTGTCTCTTCTTGTTATGACACCATGTTTCATCTTTTGTGTGTATGGTTTTTGATCTTTAATTTGTTAAGGTCACATATGGTTTGATTGATTTTATTATAAATTTGTAGTATTTTCATTTTTTCAAACAGCTAGTATAATATCTTACACCGAAGCACTCAAACATCAATAGTGATTTTGTCGCTTTGGTCTATCAAAATGGGTCTCATAAATTCTAAAAGACCTTACTGGGGTAGTGATGGTTTGCACTTATAAACTTAAGATTTTTCATGTGCCTGGCTAGTGTGACATTTGTCTAAGGGCATTTGGTGTTGATATTTCCCAAGGAGTGTTAGGTTTACCCCAAAACCAAATTGAGGGTCAGGTGAGTAGCTCTGATATCGATTGTAACATCCTGCACCAAAGCACTCAAAAACCACTTGTGATACTATTTGATTTTTTGGCCTGTTAAAATGGACCTCACAATTTTTAAAGGCCTCACTAAGGTAATGATGAGTTTGCACTTATAAACCCAAGATCCCTCAAATGACTAGCCAATGTGGGATTTGCCTAGGCACTCAGTGTTGATACCCCCCTCAAGTGTTGGTACCTCCTTATGTGATGGTTATCACAACTAGATATAATAAAACATCAATTTATAGACTGATTTTAATTTGTTATATAATAAATATCAATTATTTTATTAAGAAATAGCTACAATTGTCTATTACTTTTGTCAAACTAAATGGAACCTGTGTTTTTTATGACAATATTGGGTAGTCTAAACACAAAGTGTGTGGCAATAACCATTCCCTACAATTGGTATTATAAGTGTATAGTGCTAGCTATAATAACTAGTTGATAAGATAATTTTTTATGTATCTCATTCTTAGATAGAGGAATTTTTCATGGATCTCATTCTCAGATTGAGAAATTTTGTAACATGAGTGAAAGTATCCTCTTTTATTCTTTTAAATAAAATTTTATGTTGTCAATCAAAAAACAAATTTCTATAAAATTACCATTGCAGGACAAAATTGCATGAAATTCATGCTCTATTTTTGTGGATTAATTTAACAGTGAAAGATTACAACATATATAGTATGATATATTATTTCAAACTATATCTTTGTTACAATAGGAATTATGTGAAATTTTAGCAATTAATATAGTACATTCACTGATTGATAATTATGATGTTTGAATTACATAGCAAAAATTTTTTCTTGATGGTTTTGGTGTTGATGAAAAAAATATAAGAATAGAAGGTATCTCTATGGGCAAAACCCTCAAATATGCCCCTAAAATAAGAGGGTAGGAATAGATTTGCCCCTAAAAGAAATGTAAAAGCAAATCGCTCATTCAAATTATTGATTAAGACAAATCACCTATTATTTAACATGTGATATCATCACATGTCAATTTTCTATTAAAAAATGTTTAGGTGGCAAACAAATTTCTAACGTATAATAATATCATATGTTAAATAATGGATTATAATTTGTCTTAATTGATAATTTGAAGAAATAGTTTGTCCTTGCCTTTTTTTGGGGGTGGATTTGTCCTGCCTTCCTATTTGAAGGGCAAATTTGGAGGTTTTGCCATGTTTATGTACTTAGTGAAAAAAAAGAGAGATGTGTAAATATAAGGGTGTAGGTGAAAGAAAATTAATAAAAGAGAGAAATTAATTACAAACAAAAACCATTAAGTTTAAAGATAAAAAGTTAATTGAGTTTGATGACGTGACGCTAACATCCTTATATGGCCCAAGGATAAGAACGAACATGGAGTAGAAATGTGTTAATACTTAATAGAGGGAGAGTAGAAGGATGATAATGAACAAAAATATTACAAAGGGATGATAATAGATAAATTATAAAAATACAGGGACTTGCATTTACTTTATCCCAAAATTTATATTTTGAAGCAGATGTTATAGTATATACCAAAAGATATAAAAGAACGTTTCAAGAAAATAGGAAATCAAACGAATGTATTTAATTTGTTAATCAAATCACTTTTTGTTGTTTAGTGTTAATTAATTTGATCAGAGGTCCTTTTCGTCAGTGCAATCCAGGAAAAATGTTTATCAAAGTTCCTTCTCGAGACATGAGTAATCATTAATTTATGCATGCTAATCTTTCCTCTAATTTGTATAGAGATTCCCTGACAAGTACTAATTAAAAATTTGATTAATTGCCTCAAAACCAAACAAATTGGAAAGTTAAAAGCTACTAACGATTCAGTGTATACGGCATATATACAGGCACTTATATTTATCAACTTCAAAGTCTATTCAATTTTCAATTTTTTTATTTAACGCAAAATTTGAAACCTATATATGAAACAATGTTCAAAATGTTAATTTTACCTTATTTATTTATTTTTGACTTATTGTTTTAGTTGGGATTACTCTACAGTGTTCTGTTATGGTTGTGTATGGGTTTCCAAGAGAGGGCATCGTTCCCCTCCATCCTCTTCTCTTGCTTTCATCTTTACTTTTCTTCGTCCTACCTTTGGTGCAGGTATTTGGGGGGGGTGGTGGGGGTGTGGGGGCCTTCTCCTTGCCTTCCGCATTGATCGTGCTGTGACCATATGGGCGCAAGTTCATCTTCTAGCATTAGTGTTGAAATTAATTAATTTTAATTCTTGTAATTTTTAATAAAAAAATAATTGAAAGATAACTTTTTTATATAACTTTTTAAATATATAATTTTATATATCATTTATTAATTAATTCTTTTCATTCTATTAGGATTTACGATATTATATATATTTAACTCATTTAATAACATATAAAAGTTAAATAAAAATATTGTGCGTATATCATTATCCTTTTCAGTCTAAATTAATACTTCATTCACTTTTAATAAATTTAACTTGACTTTTAACTTTTTAGACATAAATTTCAAATGAAAATTTAATAAGTCATATGCACAAAAATTGAAATTTTTTTTTCTATATGAAGTTCTTTTCCAGTATTTTTATTTGACCAAAAAAATTTTCAATTATTATATAGTATGTTAAATTTTATTTAAAATTTATATTTGAAAAATTAAAAAGTCAAATTAGATCTATTAAAAATAAATAAAAGGATTAATAAAAAAAATACATTAATTGTATCCTTAACATGTGATCTTAGGGCACATGTTAAAAAAACCCTTTTATTGCATGTTTTAAATAACATTTTTTTATAAAATATAACTATGTACTTAACAAGAATTACAAATTAATTTCTTTTTAATTTTAAATTATTATTCATACATTATATAAAACATTACTTAAAATTTGGTACAATGACAAATAAATTGGGAATGGATAGAGTAATATCAACACAAGACCTTCCATCTAAACTCTTAATTCAAAACATATAAAATTTATCTTTGATTATTATTAGTTGAAGGAAATGGATATATTTGATTTGAAGAAAACTGAGAAGAAAAGTAATTTTTTTAACCAATTAATTATTATTATTATTATTATTTTTTGCTAATGTTATAATTAGATTGGTTTTTACATAGTGTAGACCTAGTGCCTCCCTCTCTCTCTTTTCTCCATATAGTTGCTTTTTCTTTTCTACCTAGCCATTGCCTCGTTCCCCTTTAGTGGCTAGGGGGATGAATAAAAGTGGGATTATTTCCCTCTTTGAGTGTTCTTTCTCCTTTGTGGGAGTTTCTTCCCTTTTGTGGGGTTTTCACTTGGGCTCTCTTGGAGGTTTTTATTGGGTTTTGCCTTAGGTTGAAGAAGACAACAATGTGGTGGTGACTCTTTTCTAGGTTAATTTGAGCATGGCTTGCCTAATCCTTAAAGAAGACTTTTACACACCTTTAGGCTAGTGTAGTTCCTTGTTTGGCATTCAGTGGTTAGGGACTATTGTTTGTCAGATTACTCACTCTCCCCAAAGCTTGACATGATAGTTGAGAAAGTCCATCAACTTCAAACGTGGACTAGGGCTTTCTTTTTGCACTTAATTGTTCTCATTTGTCACTGCCACCTTCTCTTCTTCTTTTCCACCTAGTCGCCACCTCTTTCCCCTTTAGTGGCTAGGGAAGATGAATAAAAGTAAGAGTTTTTCCCTCTTTAAAGGTTCTCTCTCCTTTGTGGGAGTTTCTCCTCTTTTGTGGGGGTTTTTGCTTGGGTTTTCTTACTTGTTTTTATTGGGTTTTACCCCAAGTTGAAGAGGACAACAGTGTAGTGATTACTCTCCTTTGGGTTAATTTGAGCATGACTTGGATGATCCCTAAAGAAGACTTTAA